AAATATAGAAACATCTTCGGAATTGGAATGTCTGGTATCATTTCACAACTCGGAGATAGAAAGACATGTCGTCGAGGATTTCCATTTATCTTTCCATCTCGTTTGCTTTCTCGTGTATACAACGACATTGATTGTTTCAGATTGTTTGAGATATAGATGTGAGAGTCGAAATTCTTGCATGTTGGCTCTCTCTATATCTCTATATCTCTCTGGCACTTATTTGTATATTCCAAGTATCAAATGTATCTTAAATTCCTCATCCGCGAAATTCAACGATACAACTGTCTCGAAACTTGCTCTGATAATTACGAGAGCGTGGTTTCACTTCTATCGCTTAATATTACTCTCTCAGTTTGTCACAGAAAACGCTCGCAATTACTCTTCTCCGACTTTAGTGGCTTTCAGATTTATTGCAAAGGACAAAAAGGAAATACTATAAAATTAAGATTTTTATGTGGATATTTAAAAGTGACACTATTCGGTAATGGATAATAAAGGGACTATATTAACGTTGAATTTTTGCCTATAGATTGGCATCCTGATTTCACAGGATTATCGAGAACGTTTCTCAAGAATGAAGAGCAGACGTTACGGCATTTATATCTCTCTTTATATGATCGACGCACAAGAGACATTATCGAGCGTATTGTCCTTCCCCTGAAAAAATTACGAGAAGATTATGGTAACTGATATAACTAACCGTGATAAAAAAAAAATCTCTAATCTGGATTGAAATTATAAATCGATGTACAAGAATTGTCAAAAATTCTTGAAATAAAAAGACTATAAATAATTCAAAAAAGATAAAATTATCAAAGAGTAGGAAAGAAACGACATTATAGAAATTAAATTGAAATTTATCATTCGACAAACTAACGATAGACTTGCGGAAATCTTTTCGATATAAAATACATAATTAGATTTTCAACTAAATTCGATGTGACTCGGTAACGAATAAGCTTCGAGATAGAATTAAAATAGTAATTTTATGTTGAAATAGATTTTGTGAGATACAATAATGTAACATCTTGTTGAAAGCAACTAAAGCCACTAAACTAAATGTTAGCTCACGGATTACTCACGTTTTTCTGCAAGTCAACTGCGCGAACGTCAAGTTTTTTCATTACGTCACTATTCAGCTACTCTCCTGAAATTCTTTTTTATGCATTGTCAATTAAAATAACACTGATTTCCCCATAGTTTTATATCCTAACGTTACAATTTAGTTTTAATTCTTCTTTAATTTAAATTTTCGGAAACGATTATGCTTTGGCATTCCCTTTATCATTGCTATATCTTTATTATATCATAATAGAGATATATTATTGTAATTATAATATTTTCTTACATTTTTATATCACATATATATTTTTTAATAATTTAATACTGAATTTATAATCTCATTTGTCTTAAACGATTCCTTTATGAATATGGTAATTTAAAATATGGTAATGTAATTAATCTGGATGTATCTGGATGTATATAGACGCGTTTGTCTGGTTCTATATGTAGCTGAATTGCTCTCTGTGTAACCGAATGTGTTATCCGTAACATATATAATTCGTATCGTACACGTTCTCTTGCTTTTCACAACGGCACTTTGGGAGTCAATATACAATATACAATAGCGCTACACTGTAGCGTGCATAAAATCAACGTTGAATGGAGAATATTAGGATATTGTCAACATTGTATTCTCCATTGATATCTCAAACAAATTTATTAAGCGACTACCTATTTAAATAGCAAATCGCGAATTGGATAAAAATTACATAATGTAATACGATAATATTACATAGAATGCTGCGTAAGAATTGCTGCAGTACGAATTTTTCTGCATTATATTTTCTTTAATATGTCTATGATGTTATCGCGTGTTTAAAAATATGATAATGTTTTTTTTTCTTAAAGATAATTTTATCTTTAAGGTTCTTTTCTATTCAGGTATTCTATTAAGCTATTCTATTAAGGTTTTCAAATGCAATATATAAATATATTGAAGATAGATATATTATTAAAATATATTAGAATATATTATTAAAATTATTTTGCATTTAAAGAGGAATGGATTTCTCTTCTAAAGGGTTTTACAAGTTTGTTGCGTAAAGTACTCAAACCAGTATTGCGTAATTGCGTAAATTGGCATCCCTCGAAGTTCGAAGGGTGTGAAGTAAGGCGAGACCATAAGAACGATCGAAAGCCACAATGTAAATGTCAAGAAAGTTGTCGGAATACAAATCGTCGGTAAAATGTAAAGTTTCTGATTGTCGCAATTTCATTCACACGTCGTTCGCAGGCAAGACGCAGTTTATGTTATATAGCATAAAAGACTCTCGTAATATAATTTCAGATATATCTTATATAATAACATATAAATTTTTTATTTTACTCTTATTTATATAAAAAAAAAAATGTTTCTTCGTTTACTTTTAACGACTCTCTGCACTTTAAGAGAAGAAATATTGGCATATCTTATTTGTACTTTTTCTCGATTTTTTGTCACTCTTTTTAATGTTTCTATTTGTTTTTTTTGGTATTTGTATTTGCGGCGTTCGTTCTGTCGTAAACTCGCTTTTAACAGATCATCTATTTTTAGCACGAAAAGGAGAGTAGGATGCTCTAGTTATATGAGATACTTTTATTACTCTTACCATCGGTTAAGAATTGAATTAGACCTTTTGAAAAAAAAAAGGCTAAGTGAAATAAAGTTCAGAAAAATACCCATGACACCCTTAATTCGTCTCGATATAGGGCAATCGCAAAGAGCAAGAATTGTTTTTGGATTTTCCTCGAGCTGTCTTGTCTCGAATCTAGAAGAGGCGAGGAACGACACAGCCCGTGATGGAAACGGCAGAAAAGCCGGCTACAAGGTAAATCGATACGAAACCACTACACAGCAACATCCAACGCTCCGACCCTTTGCCTCGTGTCTGCTATCTTTCGTTCGCTCACAGCATTTCCTCTTCTTTCTTTAACTCCCCCTTCCTGCTCGATTTTTCAATCTCTCTCGTTCTCTCTTTGTCTCACTCCACTTTGGATCTCTCACATTATGGTTTATCCGCCACCTTACGAGACACGTGCCACATTTCGGCATGGTCGTGGTTGCAGAGACGTTCTGCTATATTCAACGATAACATTTTCGGATATATATATATATATTTTTGTACCAAATATGTATTTTGTACCACATATATGAAATTATGAAAAAAATTGTTATTAAAGAATAAAATAAAACTAAATATTTAAATTTAATGTACGACATGCATTATATCGCAGGATATATATTCGTAATTATACGTAAAAATATAATAGGATTTTTTTTTGTATATAAATACAAATAAAAAAAATTCAACTTGAAATTTTTTAATATCTGAATATACTCCACAGCTGTTAAACCAATATTTATCTGTAGATCTTGTAAAATAGGCTTTGAAAAGTTCAGTCGGTTCCCTCCCGGTATTTAAACGATCTCAGAAAGAAATATTTTACGTGTCGAAGAGAACACGTCTCTTGGGTAATACGTGTCTCGCACGTGTCAACGAGACACTCTGTCCGGGACTTGTTCGCTGACCGAACATCATACCGCATAGTGCTGCATAGTTCAAAATGACATGAAATATAATCACACGGTATATACAGTATCGTTCAATTTGAAAGAATTGCTATTATCTTGGCAGACATTCTTGGAAAAAAAGAAATAATTGAATTGAACTTGGGAGAGATCTTCTCCGTGAGTATTTTACATCGATTCTTGTTTAGAAGTCTATGTCATTATCGGTAATGCTAGTTTACTCTAATATTATCAGTATATGAAATCCTTTCTTTAAATATTCACTGTACGTAACTTAATTATTTATTCGTCGAAATATAATTTTAAATTATATATATTATATATATTATTATATCGATATAAAGATTCTTATCATTGTTAAATTTCTGATAATAAATAAAAAGTTGATCAGATATACTTTTAATAGACGCTTAAACAGAGAGTTAACATATAATTATGAATAATCTATCTTTCGAGTTTGCTCGACACAAACGGGTTAAAATAAAATTTATTTTATCAATATCTGCGGGGAATATGCAAGCCAGAGTACTTTTTTTTTTAAATGGAATTGATTTCCATGAAATTAATTTTCTTTACGATTTCCTGGCGGCTTTCCGATGGTGTTTGACAAAAAACATCGTGTCGAAGATCATTTGTTTGGTGTTCGCTAAATGGAGCTTCCAGTTGATCAAACCGTTTGAAAGCTTCTCGATGCAGTTCCATGCGGTTGCATTCATCTCACGGTCCATCGAAAGTCCCGAACATTCCTATGTAAAGTGTGTGCCATAAGGGTGATCTATCTATTGCTGTGTGCAACAAAAGACTGCGGTCCGCAAAGTTTGAATGTGCAAACTTTCACAATGTCAACATTCACGAAAGGTTGTTTCGCCTTTGTCCATCTATCAGTCGATCGCCGATGATGTAATTGAAAGCGTACTCTGATTATTAATGTCAATGATGAATTCGATATATCCCATCATCATTAGATAATGGGTTACATAATAGCAAAGGTTATCTAATGATCGATGGTCTTTGCTCAAAGATAAGGGATAAAGGATATTCGATCCCTTTAGAGACATTGAAAAATATTTATGAAAATATTTTTATTAATTACTTTTTCTTTCTCTCATCTTTATAATTTTGCTTTTTATATATAATTCATTCTCGCATGTCGAATGTCTTATAACAATGAAATTGTTTAGTGTTACATAATCTGATGAGAGATGATGGTGTTACATAAGTATTAACATCTTAAGATATATATATAATAGAAATATGCATATGTGCGTTTAAAGATTACAGTTTAAATCACTGATATATTAACATAATAATATAATTTCGCGGGGGCATTTTTCCTAAAGAATCCCATCTTTATTTAAGAATTAAATTGAGATGTATTTATCTCATAAATTCCATGCAAATTTAAAGGGATTTTTTAATGGATTCGCAGGTTGACAGTGCTGGGCGTTCTACTGGGGATTCTCGAGTGGGATCGTAGCGATACTTGTATCCTTCTCCTGTGGGCGTATGTGATCGGGTATGTGATTCTTTTCGTGGTCTGCATGGCGGTAGAATTCTCCATTTGCTGCCTGGCGACGAGGGGTAGCATCCTAGATACAGCAGCGAGGGCGCCAATGCAGTACGTCCTTTACCTCCGACTGTGTGAGTATCTTACACCCTAACCCGCTGTTAACTCACGTTATACCTCGATCGAACCTCGACAAATAGAATAAAAAGGATAAAACCACTGTTTCAGGAGCGATTGCGTTTGGCTTTGCCAGACTGCATACATTTTTAATGATTTTATTTCACGTCATCTCTATTTTTACGATTCTTTTTCTCTGTAATAAAAGAATCGCGTTGTATGAAAAGAAAAATTTTTTTGCAAAAATACTTTGTTATATTTCGTGTGATACGGATCTTTTTTTTAATCGTTCGCGATCAGTATCCATTCCCGATATAGTGATGTTGCTGTCGGCAATATTATTAAACTTCTATGGACCAATATTGAGAGACTGTCAACATAAAACGTATATTGATGAAATGGTTTGATGACAATCATAATATTTGTCATGTTACGCGTTGGGTAATATTCTCTATCGTGTCATGTATCACAACACGTTTTAATTTTTTTTCTACTAGCACTTTTTCACTCGAATTCTAATTTTATATCCGAATATTTTTCGTTTTTTGATATTTCCACCAGTTTGGGCTCGTTACGAGACGAGAATTGCTTCGACTTATATATGTTAAAATACGCAATGCCCCGGCTTTTACTTCAAGCACTTTTCTACACTCCATAAATTTATTTTTCATTACGATATCGTTAAATTGCGCGGGGTCGACGCAAAATGAATTCGCGATTCAATTATAATTTAACGTCGCTGGTGTAAATATAGTAACGAGATATTAAGTTTGGAAAATTCAATTTATCGGCCAATTATCTTTCTCCGTTTTTCAGGATACATTTTATTTATAATATATATAATATGTATTCTATATATCCTGTGTCAATATTTTATTTATAATTCTTTTGCGTATTTAGCGTTTATCTTAGTATAAATTCATTAAATCGAGAATAATATTATAGTTACTTTTATTTCTAATCTTATACATATTTTGGACAGATATTTAATTAAACTTTAATAAAATTGATTAGCTTGTTTGTAAAAGCGTTTTAGACAATTAAACTTTTCGTGATTAAAGCTTTGCTCGAGGAATGTTTGAACCATTAGCAATTTTTTTCTCTGCCTTCTGTCTGTCTCATCAAGATTCGACACGATGACGCAAGTCTACTCGCTAGAATTTCGAATCCATTATTATTAATCTTATGCAGAGATTCGTCGAGATTCGAAAACGTTCTTAGACCGACAACCGCGGTTAAAGCCGTGTGTCGCAACTGGGTCAACTTGTGTTTGTTCGTTGCGGAAACGCGCTCGCCGCCCCGCCCCCTCGCGCGTGTCCGCTTCGAAAAGCAGACGCCGATACGCGCTATTGTAAGCTCTACGACGTAAGCTTTTGTAAGTCATATGTCATCGATCGCTTCAATCTTTCTGTCCAACGTGATGCCAACGTGACAGACGTACTTCCTCATTATTGTAAGAAAGCTTTTGCGTAAGCTCAAACAGAAAAACGAGAGATAATAGGGAGAGATAACGTTTCAAAGGATTTTCTTTGCAACCCTCTCTTCGACTTTTTTTTATTTAAAAAATTCTTTTGCGTATCGACTAATTAAAAATGTTACTTTGCTCGGATTGCACTGCGGATTGAAATAGAAAAGAGAATAAAATTATGACGACTACGATTACGACTACGATTACGATAGGGTTTTATTTCCAGTCTTGGTACTGGTGGAAACCGGATGGCTGTGCGCAGGTGTTTCTTGGTTAGCGCATTATTATCAAACTTGTCCAGTGGACCAAGCTAAGGACGTTATGTTGGGTAAGTTTTACATTTGAGAACTGCGTTTTTTCATAGCGTATTTAAAAATTTATATATTAACTGTCTGTAGATAGGGCTATATACTACATAAATTATTAACAATGTTAGGTACTATATGTATGTCATTGTGAGACAATATGAAACTCTACAATGAAACTCTACAAACTTTCTCTACAAACTGAATAGTTAACACATATTCGACATAATTTATATCAGAGAAAGAAAATATGTAAGAAAGGTTAAATAATTCGTGCATTTAATATTTTCTTGTAAAAATAAATTTGAAAATATTTAATAATAAAACAGATTAAGAAAATTCTCTCAAAATGAATCAACGAATGTGAATCATCATTGACTTATTATTGTCAATTAATTTAAAAATATAGACAAATTACAATTTGCAAAAGATTTAATCTCACTCATTAGTTTATAAAATTGAATGTTTAACTGTTAATCAAATACATAGCAAAATATGAAATCTATCTGGATTATGTCATGAGCAGGTTTGGTAATATCGAACTGGTGCCTGCTCGCATTGATGATGGTGACTATCTGGTGCACGTACGATGCCGCTGGCAGATCCTGGGTGAAAATGAAAAAGTATCAGCGCAGTATGAGGGAGGCGGAATCGAGGGGTGCAAGATTACATTACAAGCGCAGCGGCAGCAGAAGTCGAAATTGGCGACAACGGTAAGTCATCTTGTATACAAATCTGTAATTTCTTCTTTTCAACATTTTCAACATTTATTCATCATACGTATAAAGTAATTCTTTTTTCATTTTTCTTTACAATGTTCTATTTGCATTTTTAGGCGCATCGTAATTGTAAATTATATATAATATTGAGCGTTCTACATTCTTGTATTTCTGAAAAGAGACAGAAACTATCTCGAGCTCACACATTTGTATATCTTGTTATATCTTATATATATAATATACTTTTTATTACAAATAAAACTCTAGAAAGCGAGCAAAATCCGACAGAATGAGATTACTTCTTGGAAAATACTATTTAGAAAATATGCTCCTATTTTTAAATGTGTCTGAGTTGAGCCGTTTTTTCACCGTGACGTATCGTGGGTCCATTTTACGTTCCATCATTGTGAAATTTCTTTCGTGTAGTTTTTTATGACAGTTCGTATTTATGCATTGACATCTTCGGCAAGTATCCAAACATTCTAAACAGTTAGCAGTTTATATCTCATGTTGCAGAAAAGTCATACGTGCCTACCAGGACAGCTGGGATAATAGATGCAGATTGCTGTTTTGCTGTATGGGTAATTCCGATCGTAATCGAGTGAGTAAAAGGAAAAAAATTGATAGAAAATTTGAAATTGGTATTCGAAATAAGTTTTACATTTAATATAGAAATAAATCTAAAAACAAATCTTATAGAATTTGCTTCAAATAATATTATTTAAATATTAAATATTTAAAAAGTGAAATTTTGAAAATAGATATTAATATGTCAAAAGCATTAGTAGTTTAGAAAATTTCTGTACATAATTTTCCGCGAAAACAAAATTAAATTATTAAATAATTTAATATATTTAGCACATTTTAATTTATGAAAACAAATCATGTTCTATGTAAAATATTTAATTTTAAATTATAGAAAATTAAAAGTTAAAAAAGAAACAGACTGGTTAATTTTACTGGAAAAGTGAAACTTATTTTGATTTTCAACAAGGAATTTTATCTTGTTCGCCGAATTTCATTTTGACAGAAAGAACGATGTGTTGCTGTTTGCAGAATTCGTTTGCTGACATTGCTCGATTATTGAGCGACTTCTTTCGCGACTTGGATGTAGTGCCATCGGATGTGGTGGCTGGATTGGTGTTGCTCAGGAAGTTTCAGAAGATCGAGCGTGAGTTAATAGTTAAGCAGCGCAAAAACGACACATACGAGTTCCTTTCGGGAGTGCCGGTCACTCCACGCACAAAGTTCCTGTCTCTGACGGAGGACGGTGACCTAGGCCATTTCCAGCTGGCTATTCATTACATGCATTTCGCCCTTGCTGCCTACGGTTGGCCCATGTTTCTCGTCGATTCCTCTACCGATCTCTGCCAATTATGCACTAGGTAACTTCGAGATTTAAAATTGTGTGTACATATATGTGTAACAAACTATGATGATTGGAATATTACAAATATTAGCATAAGACTTTTAATTTTGAACGAGGATTAAAAGCGATTTTTTGCAATATAAATTTATTTTAAAACATTTATATCGCAAACAAAATATTTTATAAAATAAAAAATATCCTATTTTTACATATCATAAATTTCTTTTATTTTTCATATCTCGGTTTATAACGATTGCTATAAAATTTTTCTTGTATATGTACAATCTTGTATATGTACATTGCAAATTTTTAGTTTATTGCGATTTATAAGAAACTTATGAGAAAACTTTGATATAAAAAACATAATATATCATGACTGAAGAAACAGGAAGCAAGTAAGTATGAAAAGAAGAGTTAAAGTCAAAAATCAAGATATTGAGATATATTACACGGCGAAACGAAACGGTAACTTTGTGGAATAAAATAAAACAAATAGTATATATAATCGATTCTGAATCGTGAAAAGTTGTTAATTTAAAAAGTATTGTATACTCTTCGCTGTACTTCCGTGTTAGTATTCCCGCATATCGACAATAATACGATATGCCATGCATCTTTATATTCATCATTTGCGAACATGTAATATTGATTTCCACTTATTCATGTTATTTATCTTGTCTTTTTCGCAGATTGCAATGTTGCTGTTGCTTTCCGTGCGGTAATCATCATGAGGACACGACGGTGATCGTCGAGGATAATTGCTGCCGGTGCAATTATGCCGCTCTGAGTAGAATGCTCGACTTGGGGGAGATCGAAGTCGTCTATGCAACCTTCCACGTCGACGTTGGAGAGACGCCGTTCTTCGTCGCGCTCGATTACACTAAGAGAAAGGTTTGTCGTCAAAGTGGTTTATCTCAAGTTATCGTTCGTTAATGGTAGAGCTGCCATTAGCTTCTTTAAACAAAAAGCCAAGATTTATTCTTTCTATCAGTATCGGATTAATTTCCGATGAAGGCAACTTCATCAGATATAAGATATTAATTTTTCCTAAAATTTCATTATTTTTTTTTAATAGGAAAAAAATAACCAATGTTGTTTTTCATGAAATTTACATTAATATTTTTCTTATTTCTATCATGTTATTCTGCTTTATTTCTTGGTCTTTACATTTTCCTTTATTATTATTACTGATTTAACAATTTTCATATTTTCTTATTCTATTTGTTATTTTCTGTATTTTAATCGCACATTTCCTTTCCAAATATACACGTAGATCGTGATCAGTATACGAGGGACCTTAAGCATGAAGGACGTGCTAACAGACTTGAACGCTGAGGGCGAGGTGCTGCCTTTGTCGCCACCAAGGGAGGACTGGCTCGGACACAAGGGAATGGTGCAGGCCGCCGAATATATACGCAAGAAACTACAGGAGGAGGATATTATCGCGTGTGCTCGTGCAAAGGTAAGCATATTATGTGCAAATGAGTCACACTACATCGCTCGTTATCGAAATAGATGGCTCCGAAGTGGCTATCGCATCACATTACTTCGTTATTTGCTTCATAGTTGATAACAGAACAGAGAATATAAACGCAATTTTCTGTGTGTGTGTGTGTGTGTATGTGTGTGTGTGTGTATGTGTGTGTGTAGTAAAAAAATTTATATAAATTAAAATTTTAATTAACATTTAATTCATATTAAAGGAACACAAAGTTATTTGTTTTGATCTTTAATAACTTCGTCTTTTTTTTTACACAATAAAAATCACTTTTTCTCGTTGATTCCTCCTGAATATGCATTGTGAAAAAAATTTACTATCCAGGTCAGCCACACGCTTTTACTCGCGACGGAATGTGCTAGTAACCTTTTCGTCACGGATTTGTTGATTATTCAACGTCAACGTTTTGTTGAGTATTCATTTCGAGTTAATTAAATTTTTCATTTCCATGTGATATATAAACATACCATATGAATAAACAATTTAATTACGTATATTCATTAAATGATTTATCACGATATAAAAATTCATTGTCTGCGGTATAAAAGATACAAAAACAAAATTAAATATTTGTTTTAAGTAATCCAAAATTATATAGTAATCCATGTTTAAGCTTTGTTTGGAAGTTAACTAATATAATTAAAATGCATATAACATAAAATGTGTATATTTTTATCAGTTCTATTTTTTATATTTATTTCTTAATTTAAAAAACTTAATTTCTGAAGACACATCAATTATTCACGTTGAAATAATTGAGTCTTGTAATTGGATTTTCTTGGAGGTCCATATCCTAGGAATCATTTATTTGCCAAAAATAATTAAACAAATTGCTTAAACAAGTTTTTATCGAATTTCGCTATAGAATCCCTCCAGGGGTACACATCAATTCGGATTGATATTGGTGGGTCACTCATTGGGTGCTGGCACGGCTGCGATCCTCGCAATCTTGCTGAAACAGGATTACCCGGATCTAATGTGCTTCTCATTTGGGCCACCCGGTGGACTGTTGAGCATGCCTGCCCAACAGTACACGCAGGAATTCATTACCTCCGTGGTGGTTGGCAAGGATGTAGTACCGAGGATCGGGCTCCGACAAATGGAAAGTCTGAGGGCAGATCTCATCAACGCTATAAAGAGAAGCGTTGATCCTAAGGTACAAAAAAGAAACATTTTCAAGTTGAATCAATATTTGTCACGCTTTAATCAATAGTTGAGTGTCGGTTTCTCCGCAAATTATTCTAGTGGAAGACAATAGCGTGTTCAGTGATGTGCTGCGGCTGCGGCTCGACACCCACGTCCGCGGCCAACCTGGAGGCCGGTGGTTGTATCAGCGAATATCAACGAGACAAGGACCGGGCTCGCGCTCAGACCATCGTGCCCAGCGATTCTAGCATCGCTCTGACCCTGCACAGGCCCCTATATCCTCCAGGACGAATCATACACGTGGTGCGACATCATCCAAACAAGGGCGAGTGAGTATTAGTTAATAATCCAATTTGTGTTTCTTTCCTGAATACCTGAAACAGGATTTCGAGTTACCTCGCAAAATTATTCGTTATCGCATTCAACTGCATCGATGGCAATGAGAACTCTACGCTCGTTTAAAATAACTCCTTACGATAGTAATAACGAATAAAAATTAAAATAATATTTTATTTAATATCTGGATAAGTTTTTAACTTTAACCATTTACTTTTTTTATTTAATATTATACATTAAATATGTTCTCTATTTTGGCATAAAATTATCTTTACAATATAAACAAGTATACTGAATCATTTTCTTTTTAACCTGTGCCGTCATGTCGGAAAAAATAAAAAGTTAATCGCGCCTGTATTTCTTTTTAGGCAGAAGTATGAAACGCGTTGGAGGTATGTCTATCAGACAGTTTGTACATTTTCAGGACTACTGCTCTGAGTTGTTGCATCTTGGAGATATGCCCGCATGTGTTTACTGGGCCTATATCCTATATTTATTACGTACGATGTTACCTCCTCTCGTTTTTCTCGTTTTATCAGAATTTCATTCCGTAATAGTTTTCACTTAAAATATTTCGAGAAAAATGTATATTCGTACGTATTGAAATTTTATTTTTTATATGAATCACTTATATATATATACTAAAAATTCTAATATTACAAAATTGCCGGCCTTATACAATAAAATTTGAATATATCATAATGTATAATTTAGTACTAGAGTTTAAAGCAATATTGTTTGTATACTTAAAATCACAAGATAAGGATTGATTTAAAAGTTTATAACGCAATCTAATTTACAATGCGAAATAATTATTTAAAAAAATAACTTTTTTTCGAGAATTCATATACATTTTTCTTAAGATATACAATGCATGACTAGAATATTCCACGAGTAATATTACATCAAGGAAAGCGGTTAGATAATTTTTTATAGCCTTGACATATCCATCATGATCCATCAAAATAGTTTTAATACTTATAGTTTCTGGATTACAGTGTTCTTACGTGGATTGAGCTGCATGCTTCCACTTTACATATAATCTTGCGTAGGAAATAAATTACCATATGATCGCATGACGTCTTGTTTTATCATGATAAAATTTATTTATTATGATAAAGTTTAAGGCAACAATATATAATCTAATACATAGTAGAAAAAGACTTCAACGGAAAATTGTGAAGATTTTATGAGATTTCCATTACTAAATAATAATGCATTTGTATGAATTTACGGAGTAGGAGGTCTATAACTAACACCGAGGAAATTGTAGGTTCAAAACCAATTTTTCGTGTTGAATTTCAGACAAGTGTTGAGCAAGCGTGAACCGGTGTATCAGGCATTGTGGGCTGGTCCATGCGATTTCGACGAAGTGCTGATCAGCCCGGTGATGATACAGGACCACATGCCGGACAACATGCTGCGTGCGCTGAACAAGGTAAGACAGGACGCAAACATCGTGCGGCAGCAAATAAGGCGGTCGCAGGCACCGCTGAGCCGAACCCCGTCGGTGAAGCCGGGCCATTACGAGCCCTTAGAAGAAACCGCCGACGGGCCCGACGTCCCCAACGAGATGGTCCAGCGGGATCGGGTAACTAGAACCGCAGATCGGGTCGTTAATGGTGTTGATCGCACGTGCATTCGGCCAAGTATCGATTGCACGTCGATCGTTGTTGACGTGGAGGTGCACGAGCGTAAAGAGACGCTGCCAGAATCACATTGACAATTGAAGATTTATGACTCTCCACTAGTCGTACGCGAAAATGAAATGTCCCGCAAGTCGCGATTTTTGATTTGAACAAATCCTCTTCTTAATCTAGTGTCTAAATTAGATTCGCGGGATTATTGTGTGTATCGAAAGATCGCCATTCCTTCAATGATTTCAGACGTCTTCGATTAGAATATTTGATGAATGGGTCTTGTGCAAATTACGTATTAAATTATAGTTGTGGAGCTTATTTATTATTAGTAGAGCTTATTTATTATTGCAAACAAAAGAGAAACATCGAGGCATTTCTATACGTGCTTATTTGTTCAACATGTCTGTCTCATATAGATTAGCGTAGAATGTAACTTTAGATTCGAATAGTTTCAAATAGTTTATCTAATGTAATTTATTATTATTTAGTGTAATCGTATTATTTGTGTTTTCATTATTTAGAGTGTTGTTTGCGACAAATGTATATTATTGTGCTTTAGAAACAAGGCAGTTGTACATATAATACGAATACACAACTCAGTGTAGAGATATTACATAAAAGTTCAATTAAATCTAGCAATACATATCTTAAAAAAGTGTTTCAAATGCAAATTGAATTAACAAATCCATTATATATTTACAACTCCTAGTAAATATTTTTAGATATTTTAATTTATTCTTTTTTCTCTTTAGAAAGATCAAATCTCGAGTAAAACGATGATTTTCATTATCAATTATTATCAATTTATGTGAAAAAATTTCTATAATTTTATATAAACTTGTTGAAAGGAAAATCGATCTTTTTTCATACTAGTCATTTAAAATTTTGTCTCGATCTTTTATCAAGTCTGTATTGCTAGAATTAAGAGACGCACGACAAGAGCGATTCAGCAAAAAGAGATAATCATTTTTTCATTTTTTTTTAATGAGATTTTGACAATTATTATTTTATTTTACGAAAATTCGATATTTACATTAAATATCTTGAATTGCGGAAAAATTCAGGAAGATTTAAAAGGAAAAAAAAGTAGAAGGAAATATTTGAAGGAAAAATTCTCAGTTTTTGAAAAAAGCATTTTTAATTTTTTTTTTTTACAGAATTAACTTCGCTATCACTGATTACTGATTAGTACAATTGCAGTAATTAGCGTTTATTTTTGATATCACAAATACTTTAATTTTAATGATAACGTTAACTTTGTACGCGTTTGCTGAATATTCTTGTACTTATTACTTCTAACATTACCGCCTAAGTAGAGTAACATGACTGACGTGCATGTCCTCGTACATTGCATGAACTTGTTTTATGCCGAATAGAGGCCAACCAACGACAAATGGATACTTTGTCATTTGCACGCAATATTCTTGCAAAACACTAATTTTACGTACATATTATTTCATAACACGAACAGTAACAGTAACAGTTACAATTTAATCAGTTTATCATTGGAAAGTAATAATTTTATTCGAATAATTCCGAGAACAAAACTAATTTCTTTTTTAAAACAAAAATTGCATTTTATTTTTAGATATATCTATAATAATTAAAGAATAGACCGACATTGTTATCAGTTAATAATAATTTTTGGCAAATATCATAATTCAAATAATCATTTAATTAATTCACTTCTTTTATGATGTATGACCGTTTTATAATATATTTTTATAATTAATTTAATATATATTAAAAGAGTTGGCCACTGTTGGTTCGATCATTCAACAAAAAATGCGCATTATCTTTTACATTTTCTACGAGATTGAGCTATATTCTTCTTTACTTTCTTTCTTTTTCTTTCGCCTTCTTTCTTTTGCTGATTGCACGCAAAACGACAAGATGACAACTATAGATTGAAAAATGAAGGCACTCAATTGACTCGTAAATTAATGCAACAAGTGAAACTCAAAGCTCTTTTGTAAAAACGACATTTCATTTTTTGTGACACATTTACAGTTATAAGCGACTGTTCACATTGACTGGACTTGTATAATTTTTTTATTTATTTTGCACATCAAGATTTTAACATATAAAATTTTAATGCAAGACTCGCAATCATAACGAGTACATTAAATACACGACGAGAATGCGAATCAGTATATCATTTTATAATTGATTCATTGTAAAAAATTCAGATGGAATTAAACTAGAAGTTTTGCACTGATCGTTTTGTGATATAATTTCTATAATAATTTTGTAATAATTTGTCATTCGATATGATTTGCGATGTATATATATATATATATTTTTTTTTATTAATATAATATATTCTGCTACAGGTGCAACGTTATTCATTTATTGAAGCTTTCTAGCTTTTTGATTCTCGATACATGTCGATACGCTTGGAAATAAAATTGAAAATCAAATGTAAAATAAAATAATTTTGAAAAGTATGTATAATAAAATTATACATTAATTATATGTATATAAAAATAATTATATATATTCATTTTTACTCTTAACATGTTTTTAAGCGTTTCGCATTTATCATGAAACAAAGATTGAGCAATTATTAATAATTGTCATTTAGAACCGTCAATGTCTAGATTTATTTATTGATTTAAATTGCGTCATGTAGCTGTTATTTTCGCCTTTCAACAATTTACTTGCTTTATTAATATGATTACTCATCGCATACTTTTCTACTATAGTCAACTCTATAGCTTGCGATGTCAATACTAAATCATAATTTTATACATTTAGCGATAAATACGCATGGACCCGATTAAATAGTTTTGATTTTTCAAACAAGTAAATTGTATAATGTATATTAGGAAAAAAATTTTATAATAAATTGTCGAAAACGACTATGATTGTTGAAATTAACGTGATTCGTTATTGAAGTGTTCGATTGTTCTAATCAGGTTCAAACTGAAATTCTCACACGATAGGAAAATCAGATATGATCTTTGCGTTACATCGACAAAACTCGCAATCAAACAACCGCAATTTAGCCCTAAATAGGATCGAGAAACTGAATTATAACGGAATCTGACGATAAAATCGCGAGAATGGTGCAACAACGATTCGTTTGCATGCATGTTATCATCTTAGATCTACAATGAGAGGGAAGTTGATATTTACTTTGAATTTAATCGGACTCCAATCTCTCATTGGCTTGATTAGTGAGCAAGTAGCATGTTTGAGAAGGAAAGGAACAATCGCGAGATTTGTTTTAATAAGGCATTTGAGATGAATACGAGTAATTAGTTTACCGAGATTTGATGTCGAGATTATTTGATGTGAAACGCCTCCGGTATTTAAATTTCTCGCCCCCCGAAATTTTAGACAAGTTTAGGAAGAAATTATAGAAGAATCGTATTTGGAGAACTTTTCAAACGTATTTAGAAAAATCTGTCGCGAAAAATCGGCTGAGCTAAGAGAATGAGTGGTGAGACGAGCGCAAAGCGGGTGGCTGAGGGTGGCTGCGGTGTGGATCAGGTGTTGGCGTGCAGAGATCGGGGCTGCGCAGAAGCGGGGGCAGCGACGGCGACGGGGGCCGATGCCGCTGCAGCCATCGCGGTGATAGACACGACGGCGACCGAGTTCAGGGGACCACCCCTCGATCACCACCCAAACATCACGACGTTCCACCATCAGGGTACACCGGACGCCCGCGCTACCGCACCCTCCTCGCGCCACGACACAAGGTACTTGGACGGGGAGACTTAATCCAGGGAGACTTAATCAAAATCTCACATAGCGAAATATCATAAATAATCCTTGGGATATTCCGCGAATATGGGGTATTTCCCGAGAATGTTCAAACGTCCACAGGGTTGGTAAACGAGGATAAATAGATCTCGAAGTATCTCGGAAGTATATCTAACACTCTCTCGATCTCTGTCGCGTCATTTGATTATTACGCTCCGAGAGGGTAAGCACTTCCTGACGCAACGTTGATCGTACGTAGATCGAGAGCGGTATCATCGAAACGCATATACATACATACATACATACATACATACATACATACATACATACATACATACACACACACACGCATACACGTAAATGCATGCGCATCACGCACTGACTGATGATATCGTCTTCATTGTGCACTCGGCATTCGACTAGAGTCGATTGGCCTGATCGATCCTAGAATAGATTTTGGCGAGAGTATCGTCTGGTTTGCATGCTGGCAATTATTATCTAGTCGAACAGGTGTGATTGACAACAGTAGGAAGTAGCGTCGTTACGTAAATAAGAAAATTTTTATTTAAGTAAAATCTTAAGAGAACGTTAAAAGACATTTATCAAGATGTTCAATGTAGAAAATTCAAATGGCAAACGAATCCGTACTCCTTTCTCTCAATTCCGAAGTAACTTTATTTTAATTTTCACTTGACATTTAATTATCGAATGATTCAAGGCGGAAAATTGGAATGAAAGAAATTTAACGAGATGTTTTTGCCGAGAGAAAATCAATTTCAAGAAATCCGTTGTTCGAGAAATCCGCAAAGAAGATTTGTTATCTGTAGTTTCGCGACATTCTTAATGTAACGAGAGACAGGATTATACCACTACGTCGTGGCTCGCGTCATGTCAGGTTGTGACGACTCTGGGCCCGGCGAAGCCGCAACGACTAGTGTCCGGGCACGCGTCTTCGACGGAAGCATCGTCGACGGAGGCACGGGAGCATCAGACGATCGAGGTCCAGGAGTTGGAGTTGCAGGAGCAGGAAATGCGAGCACTGCTGTCGCCATCCAGTCCGACTAGATGTCATCAACTGGTCAATCTAGCCGGCACGCCACCGCATCGGCTCTGTCTGGAAACGAGTTTCACGTCGTTGCAGAGCCCGACGGACCTACCGCTTGCCGGCCGTGAGCTCAGTGTGGACTCTCGGGGCATTCCGTGGGAATACGTCAGCCTCGCCAGCGAGTTGCTCAACACACCTAGGCCGGAAGACGGCAAACCGTAAGGACGATGAACCAGACTTTGAACTCTTCGCAGTCCGGTAGTGAATGTAACAACAATTTAAATCAGTTATAATAATTTGATGGAACCGTGACATTTCGTGTCACGAGTATGCGCGATTTTCATATACTTTTATAATCTTTGTAAAATTTTTTTATTTACTCTGGACCGCGAAGAATTATCAGGACAAGACGGACTAGCCAATCGAAGAAGAGGAGATCGATAGCAGCGATAGAAGTGATGACGTTTAACTCTGACCATCGGTACTACAACTGTACTTTTATCATCAGGAGATTTAAAAAGATTGATATGATTGCTAGAACTGAATTATCAATTTTATTAGAATGTGCGCATGTTAACGGAGATATTCCTAATAACGCAAAGTAGATTTTTATGAAAAAGTGTAGCGAATCCCCCGAGGAATATCTGAATGAATAATAGGAGAATCGTTTTGATTGCAAAAATCATTGATCAAAGAGATATCAAGAAATCCAAAAAAATAAATCAGTCATTGCACTCGCTTTTCACTCAGATTTAGCAATTTCATTTCACGCTCGTTCACTCTCGCTTCTCTCGCTTAGATCTGAATCTTCACCGAGCCATATATCGCGCACCTCAGAAGTATCGTCGCATCGATACGATTATCATAAATTTCAAATGATCATGGTCGCGCAGGAAGTGTCCCCAAACGACACAGGTCCGAGGAGACGCAAGGGAATTTTTGCGTCGTCTCGATTTTGAAATAAAATCGACGAATAAAGTTAGATCAACGCGAGAATCATCGTTTTACGTCGCGATAAAATTTATCTTTTCCTTCTTTTTTTTTTTTTCCCCCTTGAGAAGACTGAATCGTTGGGACCCAACACGTACGGCACCCCTGGCTACACCGGAAACGCTGTCGGAAGCGTCGACGAGCAGTCCACCGTCGCCGGTGGTTCCGGCACCCAGACCGATGCGACGCACCCCCAAGATCCCGGGAAACTTGTCGACGGCGGCGGACGACCTGAAGAATAATCTGCACTATGCGATGCTCTCGGCAAAGAACTATTTCCTAAGGACGACAGGGGAGCACGCAGGGAGCAGTAATAACGGCAGCAGCAGCGGCAATAGCGAGGCGAGTTACGAGAGCGCCAAAAGTCTGGCTGCTGCTGGTCTTCCGCCGCCAGTCCCTAGACGACGGGACTCCGTTACTATTAGAAGGTGTGAATACTTTATTCTCTGAATTAAAAATATCCAAGACTTATACAAATATATATATATATATATATATATATATATATATATACTACACACTACTATATACGTATGACCAATATGTGCTTCAGAGAACAACGGACATGCACAGCAGCGTATTGCAGGGACGATTTATCGGAAAACTCATCTACCCACACATCTTCGCAATCTTCGAGAGTATCCCACACTTCGCATCGTGTCCAAGTGGAGTTCAACGAGGAAGAGAATGACACCAACGGTTCTAGCTTGGACTTTTACGAAGCGAAAGTATGCGCGAAGAAACCAATCTACCTTTCGACAAAAAATAAATTTCAATTATCTGTAACAGCATGATGTGTTCACACCTTCGTATTTTCAGAGTTCCTCCGGCCAGCGCGATAGCAGCAACGATGTGTTTCTCAGCGTGCGTAGTTCACCAGAGTGCAAAGGACTTATGGCGCCAGCCACAGATCTAGGTGCTGAATGGAAAAAAGGAATCGATGCAGGCATGAGTGGTGACGCCTCGTTACCGCTTCTCCGAGGCTTGTCGCCGACACCGACTTCCGGTCAACACAGTTCGCCATTCTTTAACACTAAGAGGAAAAAGTATGTGTATCCCATCACGCTAGTGGGACGAGGAGAAAGCAGTGTTTAGTTATAGATTCTAGATGATTCTGAAGATCACTGTTAGTGATTGTGAAGACTTTCTTCACTTGACAAAAGAATCAATTGGAGTAAAAGGAATAAAATAATGGTTACTTTGTGTGACTTGTGTGTGATTTGACTCTTTTTAGTTTTGACTAGAAGGAATATTTATCGCGAAAGAACTGTAGTTTTACGAATTGAAATAAAATCATTCGAGGACCATGAGGCACGATAATAATAGGTCAGAAGTAGACGTTTGGATGTGTGCCAAATTCTTCTTTCCTAACTTGCTCTTCTTTCTTAATCTATGAATTTCTCAGGTAATTAAATTAAACGACAGTTCAAAAGACACGCAAAAAAATTAAGATATCTTTAAAATGCTTTTATGTCTTTTGCGCATCTGGATCATTCAGTTTCAATTTACAAATCCAGACATATTTTCTTCAATTGTCATTTTGATATAAAGTTTTTAATTGATGATCGTGTATGTTTTGTAATCGTACTGCAATAATCATGATTGTTGCAGTTAAACAAAACTCGTTCAGATGTGATTAATTAGAAATACGAATAAAAAGAATAAAATCCCACATGTTCCTAAGGACAATGTTAAATAGTTAACCGATCATTTTAATAATCTTTAATGAAACTCGACATGATTATGTAATATAGTTATCTATTTTTTTTTCAGTTTCATATAAAAAAAAAGCTATTTCCATTGGTCTAATGCCAAAAACGATGTATTTTTGCAATTAATCATGACTTTCTCTTATGCAAGACATAATAGCGCACACGCTCGGCCTATTTTATACCAATATTATTTACTAAGAGTATATACAAACTTGTTTTTTATATATTTCTAAATGTGAAGTAGACGAGTGAAAATCGAATCTCATCGAATCATAGATTCTATTCAATGTTTGATAATTTGTATTGTTCGTAGAACGTGCTCTAGCGTACAAATCGATATGACACGAGTAATTAACTATCGATATTTTTTTATTATTTCCTAATCAAGTTACTCGAGTTTAATAATGACATTTAATAAAAATGAAAAAATATTTCGTGAAACGCTATCACGATTATATAGTCCAAAAAAATGCGACTGTCAGGTATGTGATCTCTCTAAAGAATATGCTTAAAAATGAAAGCTTTGACGTCGTTGTACTTATGTAAAAAAGTAGCACCAGATAGCATTTAAATTCTAGTCAGTATAACATATGTTTAGAAAATATATTTATTGTAATATTTATTGTAATATTGATAGTGTTCCTAGGAAAAATTTAAAATATAGAATTAATTTTAATGTAATAAAAAACTATTTATAAGAAATAAACGACGAAAGAAATGCTGCGTCTGTATATAGTGTATATGCAATTATTTGCATATTGAGTGACCATAATTTTTAGAAATTATCAATACAAGACTCAATATTGCATACAAAATGGTAATAAATTATTATAATGAATTTATTATTATTCATTCGTGTTACAAGAAATTTCTCTGTACAGTATTAATAATAATCATTCACTCCAATAGATATTGCTCCATTTCAAATATTGAAACTTTTTTGCACTCACATATATAAAATAGAGATCAATTGTTAACAAAGTAAGCAAAACATACATTTTTAAAAAATTCATTGCATGGCACTCGCCCACGGTGGTATCATGGGCTGTGGATTTTGCAAATAGGACATCACTACTGCCGATATCGATAGCATGAAGCAGCTGAGGATTTGTTTGGCATCTTCACTAACTCGTGTATTAGCGAAACTGATGCAGGAGCAATAGAGCGCCACCCAGGAGCACCATTTCAATCTCATCATTAAACCACACATGCTGAAAATCATTCCTATAACGTTCATGTATTCCGGAGTCATGTCATCCTGCATGTGCGTTTGATTATTTGAACCTGGTGGCTTGTAGCGAACCTCTTTATCCGGCCGTCTTGGATCTATCGAGCTATTCATTTTGAACGTCTGCAATATGAAATATACACTAAATAGTAACTTATTACTGTTTTTTCAGAAAAAATTGATTTTCAGAGCAATATTTACTTTTTTTCTTTCTTAAAGCTCAGAAGATTACGCAATTGTAGATTTTTTTTATGAATCGACATATACTGAAGATATATGATTTTATTTAACTATAGAGTTAGTAAAAGTTATCTTTTAATAATAAATTATTTTTAATGGCATACTTACGTATAAGTTACAACAATACTGTATAAGAATTTATTTAAACGACTAGCACATTCCACAAACACGCGTTTCGTTTATTGACTCGTCACGTCACTCGTCATTCGATTTCGTAGAAAGGAGCAAAGATAATCCTAATAGTGAAGCGAATACGCCATGAACGTAACAAGTATAAAGCATTGACTCTTAGCGCCGCGCACGGCTGTTTCGCAAACCATAAAACCTACGTACGCACATACACACATTCATGCATACACATCGTTGCGTCGCGGAGCAGAGGGAGAATCCTATCCATAAAAAGTTGACAAGGAGCACGCGAGCACGAGCGGCGAACTGGCGGACTCCCGAGGTTGTCCGTGGTTAGCCGAGGCCGCGCACTCGAGCTGACTCGAGATTTGGCTCCGTTGTTGCTGTCGACTGATCGCCGTCACGAAAGCGTCCGCGCGCGCGCGCGCGCGCGCGCGCGATACATCCGTCCCGTCCCCCCCCGCATCGTATCGGCGCCGTTGATCGTATCTACACACGCGGAATGAGCGTTTAATCGTGCGCGTGCGGCGCCAACGAGAGCAAATACGGCGAGAACAAAAGAGAGGAGGAAAGAAAAAGAGAGAAAAAGATGTCGAAAGCCGCTGACAGACAGAGCTACGCGCAAACCTACAAACTTGTCGTCGTGGGTGGGGGCGGTGTCGGAAAATCGGCAATCACAATACAATTCATCCAAGTAAGTTTCAACATTGATCAATATTGATTCGTCCTTCTAGTTTACGTCGGCCGATTACGAGATCGAGATTCTAAACGAATGCCCTATGATCCGTGATAGATCGATCGAAATGCGCGGAGATGTCGTTTTTCCTTTCAAGTTTCTCGTGAACTTTAAGGGCCTCGTAGAGATTCGATGGAATTCACGTTTTCTTATGATTTTCAAGTTCGAGAGAAATCGTCACATTCGCTATTTGTTGTTGAAAAATGCGGTCTCTCATGCTCTCCCGAGCTCCGATTGTCGTTCGGCGTATCATTGCCAGATTCTCGATAGAAGATAGTCAAGGTGAGATAAACACAGTAGGCGTAATCGTTAAATCCCCGAGCGAGTTATCACCGTGTCGCATTACGTGCGACAAGTCAGGAAGACAAACAGTTGGATGGGTTAGGCATTATGTCATAGCGCGTACGCGCTAATCGTCATATATGGTCATATACGCGGCAGCGCCATGGCGCGTCGATTCCGGCAAAGCCTCGAGTTTATACTTCGCGAGAAGGATGGGGGAAGGGGGGAGGTGCGATACGCTCGGTGGTATTCTTAAACGAATATAAGCGAGCTCGACGGATAATCGATGCGTTTTATCGACAACGATCGACAAAATATTTTAGGTGCCGTTTGAATTTAAAAAAAGTAATGTCTTCCTTTGTTGAAGATATATTTTAACACGCGATATCACGTAATGAAATAATATATTACATATTGTATTCTAACTATTTTTTTCTCAGAGTTATTTCGTAACCGATTATGATCCAACAATCGAGGATTCTTATACGAAGCAATGCGTTATCGATGACGTGCCAGCCAAACTCGACAGTGAGTAAAGAATGAATTAATTTAAATTTAATTTTTAAGATTTAATTGTATTTCTGCTTGTGTCAATTTTTAATCAAACGAATCCAATTCCATACTCGTTGAATAAAGTCGGTCATTCGCGTTTGTTTATACATGCTTGTTTGCTTGAGCTAGATTCATGAACAAGAGTTAAAAATTGAAAATGCTATCAAATGCGATATTTGTTGTAGTATTGGACACTGCTGGCCAAGAAGAATTTAGCGCAATGCGCGAACAATACATGAGAAGCGGCGAAGGATTCCTTCTCGTGTTTGCCGTCACCGATCATTCATCTTTCGATGAGATATTAAAGTTTCACAGGCAGATACTTCGGGTAAAGGATCGAGATGAGTTTCCTATGCTGATGGTTGGAAATAAAGCAGATTTAGATCAACAAAGAAGTGTAAGCATTGTTAATAAAAGAATAATAATTATAATCGTATATATGTTTTTTTCTTTAATTTTTTCTTTAACTTCTAATCTGTTTAAATTTTTATTTCAGGTATCAGTTGAGGAAGCACAAAATATGGCCCGTCAATTGAAAATTCCATACATCGAGTGCAGTGCTAAGTTACGGATGAACGTTGATCAAGCTTTTCATGAGTTGGTGCGAATTGTCAGAAAGTTTCAATTGTCGGAGCGGCCACCACTAAAACCGAATTATAAGAAGAATAAGAAGAAATGTTGCATGTTGTAATAACAAACTATTTATCTTGACGGATGATTTATATTAACTGGATTATCTTTTTGATGGTGAGTTTTAATTCAGAAGGAAAAAAGGATAAGCTAAATGATAAAAATGGCACAAAAAGATCTGAATTTTTATAATACGTGATATGTCAGAAATAATTTATGCTTCCATGCAAGTAAAATGTTTAAAACAAAAAAATGTAGATTCAGTTTTGATATTAATTACTTACAAATAAAATACCAATTTGTGCCTATGTACTGATAATGATCAACGCACAAATGTTTTCTAACATCATTACGATAGTAAATGACATTTTAAACCATTTTTATTAACATATAACATATAAGTAATTTGCAAAATTTCTGACATGTTTGAAAAAAGATTTTAAATGTGAGATAATCAAATCAGTCATAATTAATCTTAATTGTTTTTAATGCCATTGTATCCTTTTTAATTTATAATGCTCAGTGAAAGAATTTAAAAAAAATAACTTGTTTTATACAATATATGGCAAATTAATGTTGCTTTACATAAATTAGAAGCTTAATAATAAATATAAATGAATCATTCTTGTAATAAGTTTTACAGGAAAACACATACAGTTTACTATTGCTGAATAGGCTAAAACAATTTACCTGTATTATCTGTAACGCAATATATTGCTTAAGATGATATATCTAAGTAATATATAGCATACTATGCTATAATTGAATTTAATGGTAGACAATCATTATATGATTTGTCCTAGAATCAATGTTTAAAAGTTTGCTACTGATTGTCTGATATATCAATGATCTCAAATTGTAACAAAACATATAATTTTGGGACATCGAATTAAATAAGAAAATAGGTTTTACTTTAAAGCAAGTTTGTATGACATATTTGTACGATCAATGTTTTGGAATGTAAAGGAAACGTTTCATATATATGCTAAGAAGATGTATATGAAGATAATTATAATTATGACACATAGGGATGTTTTTGCTTATTATTTTTCATTTGTAGAAAATATTTTTATTAGAAATATTAATTAAAATGATTTACTTTTATTTATATATATGATTCAATGATTATGCTAGCAATATATATTGTGTTGATGTACATAATATCGAAGCATTTGATAAAACAATAGTTAATATTAGTATTTTATAATAACGAATTGAGACACATTCTACTTAGGCACTTGTCGAAAATACTCTTGCTCTATTATTAGCAGCATTCTGAATCATTCTTGCTTTAAGTTGAGTCATAAAGTCTAATTGCGAAAATCAAAATAACGCAGTAATATTGCCAAACGAATTATCTAATGTAGACCAAGCAAATACTATTTACATTCAAATTATGTCTATGAGAATTGTTTAGAATTATCTTTATATTTATACATAGTAGTGGTTGAAATTTTGTGCAAATTGTTGTAATAATAAAATCAGAATGGGGCCAATAACATTTTTAATGCAGACGATCTTGTATTTAATTAATAATTAATAATATCTTAATGTTATATACTCTACAATTCTGATTGCACATTGCGTTTAGCTTCTAAGTTGGACGTTGAAATAACATTAATGGTTTCTATATTTATATACATATTCTTATTATATCCATAATTAAATGTCTTCCAAAATCTGTTATTCTTTAAATGTATGTAATTTTATTATCGCTTTTTATGAAAATAGAATTTGAATGTTTTAATTAATTTTAATATTGTAATTTTTTATAACGCTCTGTTTCAAAAAGAAATATGGATATCAATAAGCATTGCTGTGGCATTACGATAAATATTTCTCTAAATATGAAAATTTTATTTTTTTTTAGCTAAATAAATCTGTTTTTATCCGTTTATGATATTTGTAACAATGCGATGTAGTGTTCACGATTAAAAAATTATATTTGTGGAGAGATGAAAATGTGTTCATATAGCTAATTTCGGTTTCACCAACAACGAGGAATATTTTTAGCTTGTTTGACTTTTTTAACATGTTTCGCAAAGATTCAACTTATTGCTGGTGATTCCGAAATGTACTAATAATAATACTAATAATAATATTAGCTTTTAATGATGTATCAAATAATAATAGATAACTGTAAAACAACAACAAATTTTCTGATAATTACAAAATTTTGTGAAATATTTTTTGTAATTATTTGCAAAACTTCAAGAATTGAATAAAAAATTCCATTTATTTTTATAATTGAGTATATTTATATGTTTGTAAAAAATAATGTCTATAGAATGGACTGACAGTGAAATTCAGTCTGTGTTTGTTAAATAACTTCTGTAAACCGAATAATATGAATATAAATTAATTGTTATTTTATTTTCTTTATTCTCAATCTACTGACATTATTTTATTTTTGAATGTATTGTATGTTTGGTGTTTTGTTTATCAAAACATTTGTATTTATCATATAGAATCGTAAGATTTTTTATGCTGTAATCAATAAGTTTATCAACAATGGGTTATTTGAAAGATATAAATCAATCGCTTTAAAATTTCATAGAGTTATGGAAAGATGTCGCTACTTTGACATTTTAAATAATGTCGATGGTGCATACATGAATGTCAGAAAGATATAATGGAACTACGAGAAAGACATTTGTTTTACATTTTAAGACATCTTTGATTTATAAAACAATTCGAAATATCTTTAAGTTATTTAGATTGATTTTTTTTAATATTTATATAATCTTTGGATATTCGGGAATCTGAATCATTAAAATTAAAGTTTTTGAAATTGCGCTATAAATCGGAAGAACATATATAATTGGCAAGGAAATGGCGTTATTTAAAATTTTCAGAATTTTTCACATTTCCACATTCCCAGGAATAAAATATTGTATAGCGAAAGAGGTAATCTCGTTTCATTCACGATTATTCAATTTAAGATTTAAATGATACGCGATTATTTGATATGCGGATCGCGTAACAAAACGTGTCAATTAACAACGGCCGCGTCATGATATGATTAGTCGATAATCGAATAATGATAATATAACGTCTTTACAACGGCACATTCACCCTAATTTGAACGCTGACCGATCGTGGGGGGCAAGGTGGTCAGACAGGATTCCCACCGGGGCTATTCTTGACCAGAGCGGGCTAATATTGACGCCACGCAATTACTTCTCAGTCACGCTGGATGGCCATAACTATCATAAATATTGTCGCGGCTTCTTCTATCATTGCTATTATATTGCTACTAGTATATTCGCAAAATAAATTATATGATAATAATTATAATTATATTTAAATAATATTTGAAAATTTTTTTGTTGAAATTATTCCGTCCAAGTTTCAGCAGATTCTTAAATAATCACTGGTCTCTAAATTTAAGCTTTATTTTGGATTGATTTAAATTTAAATTTTTGTTTTGTTTTTTGTATTTGTATTTTTACAAAGATCATACATTTTTTATATTACGTATATATCGCTTGATGGTTCCCTTGGACTTTAAACGAATCGTAAGAAATTATAAGACGTAGAAAACTATTATTTCTATACGCATACAATTCTTTTTTTTTATTTTTTTTTATTTTTATTTTAAGACATGGTAATTCTCTTGTCCAACGGCAAGTTTACCATTAGTGGCAAGGTCGCCATAACGGTACATTTTTCTGTAGAATCCATTAACGCACCGAAGAGATTGAAATAATCATTTGCTTTAGAATCGTCACCTCGATATGCGAATTTTACATATATACAGCGGCATTTATTGATTTAGATTGTATTCTTTTCCGTATACAAGAAGTGGCGAAAACGCAAGATCTGCGATTTCTTTTATTCAAGTATGCGAGCGATGTCACGTCGCGAAGATACGATGCGTTCGATAAATCTTTTCCCTTTCTCGAGCACGTTGAAACCGGAAAAAGAGGAAAAAGAGCGAAAACCAGAGTGCGAACTTTTACCGTAATCTCTGGCAATCAATGCCGCCTTCTTTGTTCGCCGCGCGCGACTCGAGTATTCCGCGAGGTAAAACCAGTTTCTTGAGTTAGTGCTTTTGCTTAGGCTTGAATATGCGCGCATACGTGCATAAGTCAGGTTGCGGCGACGCTGCGTCATGTAAATCCGTGAAAAGCGATGCAAGTACGATGGAAAACATTATACTAATAGTCGTATTGGAATCGTGGAAGGCTGCGAGATAGTGAAAGGTATGCTACGCTGTTAAAAAAAAAAAAAAAAAAAAAAAAAAAGAACGAAGCGAGAGAAGCGCGAGAATACCCCTCCGCGCGCGCGCGCGCATGCGCGCAGCATCAATCGTAGAAACCGATCGAGAAAACGCTGGCGTTGAAATTAAATGTAATAGACACAGTATATTTCCTCATTCATTTAAAAGGACGGGAAGAAGAAAAATGTCTTTTCTTTTATTTTTCACGCATTATTGTAATTAAAATGTTCCGCCATTTGTCTTTCAACGTAAATAAAGAAAAGAGGGAAGAATGGGGAATTATCCTAACATATATTGATTTAACTTAAAAAATAGTAAGCTATATATAAATATACATCGATGAATTGTATGATATCGTAAAACTTAATTAATGCCGAATTCAGTTCTTTGAACTTCTCGATCAAGGACCCCTTGGATTTTTGCTCCATTCCGCTTTGAGAGTTCCTTGGACTTAAGTTCCGTACAATAATAACTTCGTGCGCGCAGGTAGTCTTCGAGGACGGGCGAAGAAGGACGAAGAAGAAGAAGAAGAAGATGAAGAGGAAGAAAGGAGGAGGAGTATACCGTGGGATAAAAATAGCACGGTACCATGGCAAAATAAAAACTAATGATACGAACCTGCAGAATGACGATCCCAAGAGCCAGACTTGCCGAGCAAGGAGGGAAGCAGAAGATGCACCAAGAAGCGCGCACACACAGAGACGGAGGAAAAAGGTCGTTGCCTAAAAGAAAGAGCAGGATTCGCCTTTGAAGGAAGAAGAGAAGCGGGAAAGCTCTGTATTCTAACTTCTTCTCAAGATATAAATTGTTTGGCATCATAAATATGACAAATTTTCACGATGTCTGTTGATGATGAATTACCTTGTCAATGATAATAACACAACAATAAATTGTAAATTAACACAACAATTGTATAACGAGCTGGCAACACCCTGTACATTTATCATGTATAATAGTTTCTTCCTATTCTCCATCATGTTTATTTGATTACAATGGAAATAGAATTTTAAACAAAAGATTGTCACGATGCATCCTTGCGGCTCGCGCACAACATCTTTGAAAATCCTTGAAAATGTACAGCGAGTAGCCTCGAAATTGCGTCAAATGTTTGCGATACCTAATATTTATTTCTACAAATGTCAACTGAATTAGTCTCGCTTTGATTTATTCTTTTCTTTTTTTTTTAATTCTTAGACCTGAAGAAAGATAAAAAGAAATTAAATTGATATTAAAAATAATTTACGTTTACATTATGTATAAAAATGGATATAAAATCTTTTTTGGGAATCACATCGCTTCGCGACAACTGCATTGTCGATAGCACGCAATGGTGGGAGCTGAGCAAGCGGTGGTTGTGCTTGCGGTGGAAGAAATCTCCCACCCTCTCGGTGATCGCGCGTTGGATCACGTTACTCGACCTGTCTCCACCTTATAGTCTCGCCGCGGTGTACCTCCGTGTGGTAGCTCAGTTAAAAGTCGGTATTGCCAGCCAGTCGGACGGGCCAACTAGCCAGCCAGTCAGCCAGCCTGCCAGCCAGCCAGCCGTTCGATCAGCCAGTCAGCCAGCTCTAGAAACATCCTTACGTGCACACCGTACGTGT